GGTGGAACTGGAGTTCTTGGAGTTCCTGAGGCTGTAAATCTTTACAAGAATCTACAAAATCTTCACCAAAATCTCCTAAATCTTTACAAAAATCTACCCCAGCAGCTGGATCTAGACCACTAACCTCCTTGTCAGCAGCCCAAAGCTTGATCCAGTGTGCCACCAGCCCTCCTTGAAATCATTGCTGATTCAGAAAACGCAGATCCCCGAGACGACATGAGGAATCCGACCCTGTGACTGCTGCTCATTCCCTTCTCGGGTAGATAAAGACATTCCCAGAGGTGAACTAGGTTTCTGCATAAGAAGGGAATTTCAGCTTTAACAGTGCGCTCTGTATTCCCCAGATAATCTCTGGAGAAGAGCCCATTTACCCAGCAATTGTACTCTTTTTACTGGGGGAAGAAAAAAAAATCAACTTTGTCTTAGAGATTAAATATCATAGTAAACAGATTCAGATGGCAGAATGACATCAAGGCAATCATTTTAGATGACACTAAAAGATAATTTAGAGATGCTTTTCTAACCCTGTATTTGATTTGTGGTGGTGAATTGTGGTGTTTGATCTTTCTGGTTCCTGTGGTAAATCTTGAAGGTGTAAATAAGTTGAGGCCTTGCTTAGCTTAATTGCTATTGGTAGCACTTTATTTTACATTAATATAATGATAATCCTAGGAGGGAGTTCTGGTGATGTCGTCCGTCCATAGGGAGCTGATTGGCAAACCTAAAGGCCTGAATCCATGAGAGGCCGTGTGGCAGGAAGATGGGCAGTCTCCTCCTGTGTAAGTTACAGTGTCTGAAAACCTGCTGGAGGGTCAGCTGTGAGTCAGTTCTGACTTGACAACAGTTAAGTAGTTACGAGTTTAGTTTTAAGTGAGCTCCTGTGGTACTTTACAGAGCAAGAGTAGAGATGTTGAGAATTCAGTAGCATGTTGGTAGGTGCTGTTGAGTTGAGTGACTCTATGAACAGTGACTCTATGAACACCTGAGCTGAACCCTGTCCTGCGTCATCCTCACACATCCTGACACTGCAGCAGTCACCCTGTCGGTCTGCCCGGTCAAGGGTCATCTTCTCCTTTTCTCACCCTCCATCCTTCCCAGCATCATGTCCATCTCAAGGAATAGCCTCTTGTAGCAACATGCCCAAAGTATGTGAGACAGAGCCTCTTCATTCTTGCCTCCAAAGAGCACTCCGGCTGCACCCTCTCCAAGACATACATGTTAATTCTCTTGGCCGTCCATGGGATGTTCAGTGCTCTTCTCCCGCATCACAGCTCAAGGACATCAATAATTCTTCTGTCATCCTTATTCATTGTCTAGCTTTCAGATGCATAGCAAGTGATCAGAAAGACCATGGCCTGAATCAGACACATCTTAGTCCTCAAACTGACATCATTACTCCTCAAGAACTTGGAGGGGTCCCTAATTGCAGATCTTCCCAGTGCAGTGCATCTCCTTATTTCCTGACTGCCGGTACCAACGGTGTGAATTGTGGATGCAAGTAAGACGAAGTTGTTGACAGTTTCAGTCTCTTCTCCATCCATCTTGATGTTGCCTCACGGTCCACGGTAGGCATGGTAGTCATGCCATCACGGTAGCATGAACTGCACTGAATGTCCAGAGGCAGCAGATTCCAAGCTGAGGTTCAGATCTCCCAGCTCTTGTTCAAATGTGACGGCCACCAGGTTCCAGACTTCTCCCTTCCCCATCTTCCTGCCCCTCCTGTCACTGTCCTGGGAATCAGGCCTGGAGCGTGGACATGTACCTCCCACAGCCCAGTAACCACTATCTTGAGCTGCCGTTTCCGTTCTCCAGTTTAACTGTGAATGGACCAGGTGGTGCATAGGGGTCACCACACGATATAACCCCTGGAGAAAGAGGGCACCTCATATCACACACATATCTAAATAGGGTTGGGAACAAGTAGACCTTCCTTTTGGAAATTCAGAGTGGGAGTACATGTAAGTAAATATTAAGGTCACAATCTCTAGTCCCGTAACGAGCACACGCTTGGTAAGGTTTTCTCTAGCAGATGACTTGATGTGTGTTCTGTGGTACACTGTAGTCACCTGTCTCTTGTAAGTCTGCTTTATTTGGGGAGAGGGGAGTACCATGGGTACCTTCTCAGTATGTGTGAATCCTACTTGGGCCAAAAATTGTCCTGAAATCAGAGCAGTTACAAGATGGTGAAAGCCAACAACAGACAGAAAAACAAATTATGCACAGAAATTCAGATTGATGTCCTATTCCTCCTCTTAAACCAGCATCAACAACAACAATATATTCTAAACACCAACACCTCTTACATGCTCCATAATTCTGGATTACGTGGACAACAAGGAATGAATTTACGTTATTTCACTAACTGGAACATCGCTTTAGCTTTGCAAATTTATTGTCACTGTCTCGGGGGAAAGGGAATCATTTTGTTTATGTTTGCAGTAAGGAAATGCTTCCCATGAATAGTAAATGAGATTAGGAAGAGAAAAGTTCAGCCCCATAAATATTTCCTAGACTAAATGTCGCACGCATATTTTTAAAAACCTTCCTGGAATAATACTGATTTCCACAAGGGCACCCCTAAGACTCACTTGATTTCATTGTATTCAGTTCAGAAAACCGATGCATTTTTCATGAGCCCTGAGTAGAGGGCCAAGTTGTAATTGTTTGGTAAAAGTTTTCTCTTTCTAATTTGCCCTTTACTGTAGACATTAAACACCTTGGAATTATTTCCAGGCTGTGTCACAAAACAGCCATAATTAATGCATACTGTGACCAGAAAGTTTTAAAAAGACATTGTGTCGTCTCTAAAAATATGACTGGGGGGGTGGGAACCAAATCTCAAATTAATACTCTAATAGCTCCAGTTAATACTCTAATAGATTTTTGAAGCTGAGGACTGCAGAAAGCGTGAAAACCAGGAAAAAAAAATACAAAGGTAGCTAATTAAATTTCCAAAAAGTATGTTGATGATGTTGTTGTTGTTGTTGTTGTTGTTTGTTGTTATGTGCCATTGGGTCGCTTGCGACTCATAACGACCCTATGTACAACAGCCCTAAACCCTGCTCTATCCTGTGCCAATCACATTGCCTCTGACACACCCATCCCGATTAACCCAGTCACTGAATCAATCCACCTCAGAGAGGGCCTTCCCCTCCTGCACTGTCCCTCCACCCTCCCAAGCATGATGTCCCTCTCCAAGGACCCATCCCTCCTGGCAACATGTCCAAAGTATGTCAGATGAAGCCTCAGAATCCTTGCCTCCTAGGAACCACCTGGTTTAACATGCTCAAGGATGAATCTATTTGTTCTCCTGGCAGTCCGTGGTAACCTGAATACTCTTCTCCAGCACCACAGCTCAAAGGCATGAATTCTCCTTTAATGCAGACATTGCTGAATCAGAACCAGCTCATAGCTGACCCTCCAGTGAGATCTCGAGGCTGTAAATGGCAGGAGAGAAGATAGCTGGCCTCTCTCCCAGGGAGCAGTGGGTGGATTCGAACTGTCTGGGTTGACAGCACAACTCCCTACTGATTAGATCATCAGAGCTCCGAGGAAATAGCCAGTAGCAGTGGAATTCAAGAAGTCACCATCCCAGAGAAGAATCTGGGTTGTGGAGATGCCTCTGAGTTGATGCTGATTCCTTCATTATTACTCATGCTCCTTTTACCAAGCTCTCATTTTGGAGCTTAGAAAAGTCAAAGTGAAAGGTTCCAGAAAGAGAGGTAGAGCCTCACTGTGATGGATTGGTTCATTGACTGAGGGCTCGAACGGGGTGGATATTGCTGGTGAAAGCAAATTTGTCGGAAGGAAATGCAGCCAGGGTGCTCCTTAAAGGCCTGGGGGGTGAAAGTGTGTCTCGCTCACTCTGGGCATGTTGCCCAGAGGAAGCAGGCCTTACAGAGAGACCTCATGCTGGGTCAGTGAAAGAGAGGAAGTCCCACAACAAGGTGGACTGATGTGACTACCGCAGTAGGCGTGGGCATGACAGAGATGAGATGGCACAGGGCAAGGGTCAGATCTGTTGTGTTCTTTACAACAGCTGATTTCCAGGTGTTTTCCTGAAGACCTCTGGGTTCCAACAGCCAGCCTTTCGCTTGAGGCTGAACAGTTAACCCCTGGTTAAAATGACCACAGGACTCTTAGCCATCATCTGATACCTCATAGCCGGAAAGGGCAAAAATCCCATTCACATCTTTGACACAGGCCCGGTGGTGACTGAGAACTGGGGAGGCTTAAGCCAGACTCTTACTTTTTCTTCTCCTGAAGAAGAGGCACAGACCACTTTCCCAGTCAGCCTGGGGAGGTTCTCTGGCACAAGGAATGGGCACTGGTTGGCGTTTGGGCTACAGTTGCCAGGTTCAGCAAACAGAAATAAAGTTGAAGTATAAGCACATAGCATGCAATGCAAGTACAAATATTTAAATAGAAACAGTGCATGGGATGTAAATAGGCCATTATCCTCTGCTTGCCCGAAGGTCAAATTTAACTGTACTCCGAGATGGGCAGTCTCCTCCCATGCAATTAACTGTCTCTGAAAACCTGCTGGAGGGTCAGCTATGGGTCAGTTCGACTCATTGGCCCACAGTAGCAGCAACAACAACAAAGTACTGTGGGGTTAAGCAGAAACTGGCAATTTAGAACGGAAAATGGGCCCCAGGCTACAAAGCCAACAGGCTCTTGCAAGGAAACATGGTATTTTTGTCACAACATAGACAAGGGTTAATGTGACTTCCCTGAGATGCTGCCGCACTGCCCTGTGTCTCTGAGTCACATACTGTGTCAAGGGCTTAGTCAGTCCTCATTTACTCTGTGTTAGGAAGCTCATGTGTCACTAGTCAGATCTTTGCTGTAGCAAGGTTCCAATTCTGTACGTTTATCATATATTTTAAAATAGAGTCGATTCTCGCGTTCAGCTGCTTGTTCTTTGGTTACATCTATGACACGTTGCCGTGGTCCACGAAAGAAGTGCATGGCTTGACATCTGTGTTGTTTTCCCGCAGCCGATGGAAAATGCCTGGTGTCCGTTGGCCTGGACGACTTTCATAGCATAGTGTTCTGGGACTGGAAGAAGGGAGAGAAGGTGGCCACCACGAGGTAAGAAGCCGCCGGGGTCCTCAGCCGTCTGCCACTCGGATGCCTATTAGAGGTTAAGTGTTTGCTTTTTTTTTTCTGGTGCCATTTCATGTTCAAACCTGGATGAAATTCAGAGAGAACATTTTGCACCTGAGTGGAAACAGATTGCCAGAGCCAAGTCCGACTCAGAGCTCCTGGGTGTGTGTTGCAGAGAGTTGGAGAGCCCTCAAGTCCTCTGCGGGCAGCCCTTTTCCACTTTGCTTTTGTAACATGTGTGTCATCTAGATAGAAGCTCTCAGCCAGTGAGGAAAGGCCGCTTCGCCCAGCCTGGCGCCTGGCCCGCGATTTTTCCCTGTGTTAGCATCTGGCACAGCTCGTCGGTGTCAGGGAGGCAGGCGAGGTTCGTCATGAGGCTGCGGCATGCCACAGCGGGGCCCACTAGCCTGCATATGCCGCTCTTCAAAGTAGGCAAAGCGTGCCCCTAATCTCCCCAGCTTATAAATAGACCTTTCAAGACCGACTGCTGTGTACCGACCACCTGTCCTCCTCACCCCACCCGCCCTCCCTGCTGAACCAGCCCTTTTCACCCCTACATACAACGAGCTTAGCTGAATGCCCATCTGTGGGCAGAGGTGAAACGGTTGGCAGCCGAGGCCCGTTTGTGGCCCAGGGCGTGGTGTCCGGTCATCTCCCCATCGGCTCTTCCTCAGGTCAGCCAGCTTTCTGTGTCGCAGCCTAGAGCCTGTTAAGCGGTCACATTCGTCACTTAGAGTACCTTTTAAACCCACATTTCCCCAAGACATCTTACATTGGAAATGGATGTGGACACACTGTTTATTTTATAAATGGAGGTCTGCTGGTGGCTGGACACACTGAGGTGGGACAGGTGGGGCCCTTTGGACCCCAGGTGACTGTCGAGACCCCGGCTGACCACCTTAGCTGCACACACAGAAGAAGCCTTCCAGCTGCCCGCTGTGAGGGTGGGATTCTTGGCAGCAAAGGGCAGCCTTAAACCCCACGCCCAAGTGTCTGCCTTTGGTCTCTCTCGTGTGACTCAATGTTGTCACAGCCCCGTTAATCCTCAGATTCTGATCCTTGTCGGCCTGCACCTTCCCCAGACTAATATGCTGCTTTTCACTTGACTGTCTCAGATAGTGTACCAGCTGCACTTCCAGATAATTCCAGGCACACCACCACTCTGCGTTTCCACGGCAACAGGCATGCTGTTTGCCTTGCAGAAAGCCCTTGGCAGCCAGGGGGGCCCTCCAGTGATTCCCCAGGAACACCAGACGAGGGAGAGAGATTTCTGCATCTAAAACAAAGACTTTGTTTGATCAGCTTGGTGGATAGTGTTAGTCTATGGTTTAGTTTCATTAACCTAAAATTTACTTAACACTCATTGTGTTACTAATATAATAATTATGTCGTTTCTATTTAGAATTTCTCCCAAGTCTTTTATCACAGTCCCCAAACAGGACACCTGCAGCAGTTTTGCAATCATGACATTAATAACCAGTGTTCTTTCTATGAAGAATTGGTAAGGCTCATTACAGACCTTTTGAAGGACAATAGATTGAAAAACACTAGACTAACAAGAAGCCAGACAAATAATAACCCATGTGTTGTTGTCAAGTGGGTTTTCAGAGGCTGTACGTCACAGGAGAGGAGATTACCCATCTTTCTCCAGCAGAGCAGCTGTCAGATTTGAACTGCCTGCCTTTGGGTGGGTAGAGCAGCCCTCTTCCCGCTAGGCCACCAGAACTCCCTAGTTAGAGAAATAAAATTGTATTTATGCCTTAACGGAGCTCTGGTGGTTTCGTGGCAAGAAGGTGTGCTGCAATCTCAAAGGTACATGGTTCAAATCCACAGCTGCTCTTCTGGAGAAGGATGGATAATCTCTCCCCGTGAGATTAACGGCCTCTGAAAACCCACTGGAAAGTCAGCTGTGGGTCACTTCCGACTCTGTGGTACACAATGACAGCATTTATGCCTTAAAATTATAGTGCTTAAACAGGTCATTTTAGAAACTGTACTGCAATTCCAGAGGTGCGCGGTTTGAATCCACCAGATGCTCTGCTGGAGAAGGAAGGACAGTCTCCTCCTGTACCAGTCAGATCTGATTTGGTGGTACACACACACACATAATTTTTACAAATTTAAAAATAGGTCATTTTAAAAACAGGAATTTTAAAAGAAGAAAGAAAAAGGTTATCACTGTCTGATTCGTTCCTGCCCTTTTGCTCCGTTCCGGAGACGGCCTCATTCGCTCTCCTCACATTGCAAGCCTGGGCCTCGAGCACTGCTAATGTTGCCGCTGCTCTCAGTTGCCATCCAGCCCGCTCGACTGATGCCTTGTGGTTTGACGATCTGCTCCTGGCAGGCTGGCTAACTCCCGACTCCCCTCTGGGGTCACTGTCTCCAGTGACGTCCACCACCCAGGGCGTGAGCACTGTCCTTTGGGGAGAAGGAGACCTCAACAATGAGTGAGCTCAGTCGGTGACCGTGACAGTGTCATCAGCGATGCAGCTGGTTCCCGGGGCTAATGCTCGCTGGGGTCTCCCCTCATTTCTGGAAATACTTCATTGGACCCTCCCCTTCCATCGAACCAGAGAAGCTGGAGAAATTCAGAATTAGTAGAGAGAAGTTCTAATCCCAAGGTGACTCTGAGGCCTGAGTTGATCTGTTATCTATGCGTACACACACACAAACACGCTTGCTCGCTCACTGGGCTTCTTGTTGTTGTTGTGTGCTGGTGAGTCAGAGCTTACTCCTAGCTGACTCTCCAGTTGGTTTTCAGAGACTGTTAGTCACACAGGCGGAGCTTGCCCAGCTTTCTCCCTGGGAGCAGTTGATGGATTTGAACTGTGTGCCTTTGGGTTGGCAACACAACTCCTTATCCACTAGATCACCAGAGCTTCCTTTATAAAAGGGCTCAACTGGCCCTAAATGCACAATTCATTTTCACTCTGGCCTGAGACATTGACTTGTATTAGGAGAGCATAGCAAGGCATACGAAGTTAACATACAGAAACTTGCTGCACCACTTGAACAAACGATGTAGCATATGTGTTATTTGTGTAAATGTGCAGTATATACTACTTATTTATCCTCTCATTTTTTTAAAATATATCCTCTCATTTTATCTCTTTCCAAGTTTCTGTTCTGCAGTTGGTTTGCCAGCCAATTCATCTACCAGGGCCATTCTGGTTTCATGCTAGAGGTGTTCTGAATTACTATAATGTATAAAAGAGCTAAGCCCCCTTTTTTAGAATGTTTCTCTTTGCATCTATTAATGAGATGAATTGTAACATTTCCTGTAATACAGGATGAAATGTTCTAGTTGTGCAGTGGTTAAAATGTTTCGTTACTAGTTAAAGGTCAGACGTTGGAATCCAATAATTTGTTCCCCAGGAGAAGATACAGCATTCGGCACCTCTGAGGGTTCACAGCTCTGGGAACACTATGGGGCTGTTCTTCCCTGTCCTGTAAGGTGTCTGTGAATCAGAATCGACTAGGAGGAAGTGAAGTCATATTGCCAACAAGTCAGAACCGACTCATAGCTGATCTCCCCCTCTCGTGAGTTTTAGAAGGCTGTAAACCACGCAGGAGAAGGTTGCCCCTCCTTCTCCCACAAAGCACCTGGTGCGTTCACATCACCAGGTTGGCATGGCCTTTGAGCTGGCAGCAAAACTCCCCGGGGAGCACACCACCGACTTCCAGCCTCCACAGCCCTGCTGGAGGGACGGTCAGCTATGGGTCAGGTCCCCCTTGATGGCGAGGCAAAAACAGTGAATGACCGCTTAATGTTGAACCAGTCTTGATTTGGCCAGAATGCCTCATTTTAAAAGTTGTTATATTAAATTCTGTTTGCTGACATTTTTACCTACGGAGCCCTGGTGACCTAGTGGTAAGGAGTTGCGCGGCCAACGCAGAGGCGTGCGGTCTGAATCCACCAGCTGCTCCATGGGGGAGAGATGGGCGATCTCCTCCCGTCTGGTTTACAGCCTCCAAAAGCCCGCTGGAGGGTCAGGAGCTGTGGGTCGGTTCTGACTTGATGGTACCAAATATCATTTTATCTGAGAGTTTGGTGTCTGTATTCATGAGCAAAATTAGAGTCTGGTGTCATTTTTAGTTACTTTTTTCCCCCCTTAGTGAAAATCAAACCCTAATTTTCCAAAGAAGACCATCAAATAGTTAAGAACAGGATGTCCTTGGATTCTAATGTGATGTGACTATAAAGCAGAAGTTTCCCTGGCTCTCTGGCAGTCAGATCTCTAGTTCTAGATCTAGTCGGTCTTTATGTTTATATTGTTTTCTTCTTTTCCTTGCATTATAAGAAATGCAAAGGGCACTGAAGTGCCTTGAATCCACAGATGACATCCCTTCTCTCTCCACAGGGAAGCCAGAGGCTTCTGTTTTGAGTGAGCACATTTCTTGCTGGAAATCCCTTTAACCTGAAGTGCCCTCTACCGCAGGAATATTGCATTCGGTGTTTTTTGTGCGATTACCACAGTGTTTCACCCTGCTCCTGCACATGAGCTGTGTGCCGCAGGATTGCTGGCCATCCTAGGCATTGAGTGTATGCTAGGAGACTTTCCGAGGCACCTTGCTCATTTATTAATTGGCTTAAATTACAGTTAACCGGCTCTTGGTGGCAATATTAGAGTGAAAAGGAATGACTCAAACATGCAAAGAATGGCTGACGTTATTCTTTTAAAAAATTCTTAAAATATATGTTTCAAGTCACCTTAAAATCTTAACTGTCCTGTTACATGCACTCAGTGAGCTTTTAAAACTTCATCAGTGTGTCCAAGCAAACTAAGATATTTCCCCTTGGTTTGTCTCTTACAGAGGACACAAAGATAAGATATTTGTGGTGAAATGCAACCCACATCATGTCGACAAACTGGTTACAGTCGGGATGAAGCACATAAAATTCTGGCAACAAGCAGGTACTGTTGTGGGGGCTTCTTGTTGATGTGGCCGCGATCTCTACCCCAAGTGGAGAAGCCCACCGCCACAGTCTCCACAATCTAAGAACTCAGTGGGTCTCAACGCTGGGTTTTTCCCAGATGCACTTTGTGTGCTCCAGGCCTGAGCTGGGACACTTCAGACATTCCCTGCCCTGGGCACACTCCTCAGTATCAGGAAAGCTTGGGACGGTGTCCCCCTGGGAATATGATTATTGTTAGTTTAGCCATCTTTTCTGGAAGCAGTAAATATATAGGACGGCTGGGCAGGAAAGAAAAGCACTCATTCTGGTTGGGTGAAGCCAATTTTTGGAGCAATATTTGAAGGATTCCTTTGGTAACTCGCCCCTGAATTTTGCACATGAATTAAACCCTCTTTACATGCAGTAGGTGGTCAGCGAATTGTAGTGCATTAGAATATTGATAATAGTTACAATAAGGAGGGAGAAATAAGCATGAGAAAGCTTTGAAATGTCTGTTCTCACTCATGAAACAGGACTCGACCCTTCACTTGTCCCTGGGTTCTTAATACCAGCATTGGTGCCAAGCGCAACTTAAATTGGACAAAATATGACTAAGCTGACCTTCCAATGCTTTCTGTTTTTAAAGAAATTATATTAGCACCCAGCACCTTTGGAGGACAAGCGTATGTAGATGTGTCATGAGTGAATCCTAGTTCCCAGCAGCAGGGAACAACAATGTGGGCATTGAAGGGACAAATGTGATTTCGTTTATTGCCTTCACCTACCCAACGGTCCACTTTTCTCACCCCAATGTTAGTGGCAAAAGTCAAGGCAGAACTTTATGTAAATTGATAGTCAAAACTATCTCAGTTAATTTTTACAAAGCCAGTATATCTGTGTACCTCTCAAGGACTCTTAAAAAAACAATGGTATTCTAAGTGCAGCAGCCTTGGTGTCAAAGCACAGATGTTCAGGGTTGGGAAACCACAGGTGATACGTCGGTTGGTTTTGTCCCTCCTCACCTGCATGTCTGAGGGTTACCTGAGGGAAGGTAAAGGGACCATGTACAGATGGTTTGATCAGAGTTCCCTTCTGCTTCATTCTTGCGGTCAGTCTTTGTGGCTCCCTTCCCAGGCTCTGACGAGCACTGAACCGTCCAGCAAACTCTTTTAGACCCAAGCCCCATTGGCCTGCGATGTCTGTGAGGTCGCCTCTTCAGCTGGACCCTGTAGTCCTGGAAAGCAGGAACCAGGAATTCCTTCTTTTCACCTTTATATGTAGCACTGACCACAGTGCCTGAAAATGAGGGTATGAAACACATTGTGAATGAAGGAAACACAATGTAGACGACTTTTGTATGCAAACCAATATAAAATTTAAAAACTTAAAAAAGATAATCCTAAATAAAATGAGCAACACTGGTGACCGAGGGGCAAGAAACTGCGCTGCAGTCCTGAAGGCACACAGTTTGAGGCCACCAGTTGCTCTGCAGAAGGACGGGCAACCTCCTCCTGTGAGAGACCCACCAGAGGGTCAGCTGCGGGTCGGTTCTGACTCAGTGTTGCACAACAAGAACAAAATAAAACAGACTCAGTAAGCACTGAATGAATCAGGAGGCCCCGATATTTTTCTGTCTTCTTCCCTTTTCACAGTGTTGATGTGTATTCGTGACACTGGCACAGTGGTTTTCCACTGAATCACTAATCTGCATGCTCATAGACACGTCAGTGTTCTGCAGTAAAGGCTCCTGTTTCCCTGCAGGTGGGGGCTTTACCTCCAAAAGGGGGATTTTCGGAAGTGCCGGGAAGCTGGAAACGATGATGTGCGTTTCCTACGGGCGGATGGAGGAGCTCGTGTTCTCGGGAGCGGCGACTGGAGACATTTTTATCTGGAAAGACGTTCTGCTGCTGAAGACCGTGAAAGCCCACGACGGGCCCGTGTTCGCCATGTACGCGCTGGATAAGGTATGGGCCGTCGGTGTCAGGATGTGTGTCCGTCAGCTTTTCCAGAGCACATGGTGGTCTCCACAAAGCTCCTTGGGAGAACGCCGTGTCTCTTGCACTTTGGATTTTAAACTGTCAGAAGCCTGTGTTCTTGCCCTCCTTCACACATTGTCATTTTTTTTTTCTTCCGTGTACCACATCTCTCCACTTTTCCACACTTGCTCTCCCTGGCTCTGACTCCTCATTGTAGACGTGGAGGAGGTCCCTTTGATGCGGCTCTCCTCTGTGCTGCAAGCGGTACAGTCTAGAAGTCCCACTTAGATTGCTGTCCCATAAGTCAGCTTGACCAAAGTTTCTGTTCATAAGCCGTGTGCTCCTGCATCGAGTTAACTTTAGCAGGTGTCGAATCCATCCATGGGCCCGATTGCTAGCCAAGCTCGTGAGCATCTCCATATGCTACTCACCTACCTTGCAGTGTTTTCCTTGCAAATTTTCAGTGCTCTTAAAGCACTTTCTTCCAACCAGTTTGTCTGTGAATGCCAATGTTACATTCCCTTTTGGTTCACTCTGGAGTTATGGTGGCCAGGGGGTAAGAGCTGCCAACCTTAAAGCACGCGGTACAAACCCACCAGCTTCTCTGCCGAGGAGCGATGTGGGCAGCTAGGAGTCAGTTCCCACTCGGCGGCACACAACACCAGCAGTAGGTACTTCCCCGGTATTTCATTCGTGTCCTGTGACGTCCAGTCTGAGACACCCACAATGTTTTCCTTGAGCCAAGTCTCACTTTCTTCTTACCTGCCCCAGGTGCTACATTGATGCCATTTCAAAAGTAGCTGCTTTTTTACGAGGTGGTCAGGTACCGGGGAGACCACTACAACGTGTAGCTAAGCTGTGAGCCACAGGTCTGAGCCGTGCCCTGGCCTTGCCCCACCCTCACCAGCTCCGATGTGCGTGAGCCCGTTGCTTCATTCAGTCACTGTCACTGTCTTGTTGAGGGTCTTCCTCTCTTTCTCTGACCCTTCAACTTTCCCAGCATGCCATCATTTGTTTTGGTTTACATATATATGTTCATTTCATTTTATTGTGATTTTAGTGAAAGTTTACTGGAAAGTCAGATCTTCATTCATTCATTCATTCATTCATTGTTACACAATTCCCTCCCTCCCTTCTCCACTGTTCCCTCTCCAAGTCCGCTTTGCAATACACCTCTTATTCTGCATTCTTATCTTGCATATAATGCCCAATCATATATTCCTTTTTTAATGGTTCTTTCCTTCATTTGTTCCAATGAAGTGTTCATTATCCCCTTTTTTCCTATCCTCTTCTCCTCCCAGTCCCCCATGTCAGTCCTTCTATAAAGGTGGTGATATGCAGTATTTGTCCTTTTGAGATTGAGATACTTCACTCAGCATAATGTCCTCCAGGGTCACTCATGTTATGTAGTGTTTTATAAGGTCATTGTTTGTAGGTTATTTTCCCTGTTGTGCACCATCTAATCAAATCCAACAGGCACAGGAGGAGATTGCCCCACCTTCTCCAGCGGAGCATCTGGTGGATTTGAACTGTGCTTTTGGGATTGCAACACAGCTTCTTGCCACTAGGCCACCAGAGCTCCCTGCATGGTGTCTTTTTAAGGCTGTAGTGTATAAGCTACTTTCTACTGGCAATTTTTCTTTTTAAGGACAGAAATATATAAATCTTAACTCTTAGAAAAGATTAAAGGAAAATGTAAAGTTCTAGGAGGCTCTGTTCAAGAACAGTTATACTGCTGGGTAAAATAAGCCACAACACCACAAGAAAAAGTAAATATATAACAATATTGTATGTTACATGTAAGATTAATTTGCAGGTCTAGTCTCCTTGGGTACAAAAACTTATAAGACCAATGAAACATAGTAAAACTCAAAATATTATTTCCTTGTGGCTTTCACTGGACTGGATTAAAGTGAAAGTTTCTTTGAAAAATAGAATGTTTGCTCAGTATTTTTCATTTGTAAGAAATCTAAATAAGGAAAGTTGGTATGAATGATAAAGCTCCCAAAAAAAGATAGTAAAGCAAAAAAAAACACAACCCAATAGCTATAAAGATCATTCTTCGGTTAAAAAAAAATCCCATATACGCAGCTTTTTCTTTTCCAGGTTTTGTAGCCATTAATCTGGATTTTAAGTCTTGTGGACAGTAATGCTTATTGAAGAGAATAGTAAGAGATTTATAGTATATGAAGTATACCTAAGGTACTCAATATTTCCTCCTGGGAATGACTAAATATTTAAAAGTTACTTTTAATTGTTTTGTTAATTCAGATTCATTTGACAAGAATTTAAGTGATCCTAAACTCTGGCAGTCAGTGGGATTTAGAGCTGTGTGAGGGTGGCCTCGTCCCATGGGAACTCACGTCCTCTGTTGGGGTCTGGACACAGAAACAGGCATCCAAGGGTCAGTGTGCCAAGTGCCAACCCACATTGTGAGGGAGGCGCGATGGATGCATGGTGACAGTGTGCCCAGTCCTGCTGGACCAGTGGGACAGGAATGCTTCCCAAACCTAGTGTCGGTGAGCGATTCTGACTCACAGTGCCCGCCGGGGGGTTTCCAAGATGTAAGTCGTTTCAAGAGGGGGGCAGCTGGTGGATTCAAACTGCAAATCTTTTGGTTAGCAGCCTAACACGCTATGCACTCTGCCACCAGGGCACCTTTTCACCATCCCTTTCAGTCTCATGTACTTTGGAAGAACACATCCATATGGCTGCCCACCTGAGGGGGAACCGTGTTGGGGTCGGGGGCCCTTGTGAGGTGTGTGTAACACGTCTCGTTTTTCCACATTATCACAGGGTTTTGTAACAGGCGGAAAAGATGGAATTGTGGAGCTCTGGGATGATATGTTTGAAAGATGCCTGAAGACTTATGCCATTAAAAGAGCGGCCTTGTCAACCAGCTCAAAAGGTACATTCTGAAATGGACCACAGAAATCTTTGTCATCAGAGCAATGGGCAAGACAGGGCTGACATTTTTTTTTGTGGAACCATTCCCAGACCCACTTTTTCACTTCCTTCTACATTCAGAGCTCCTGGCCCCTGGTAGGAATGACCTAGTACTTAGTACTTGTTGTTGTGTTGTTTGATGCCTTCGAGTCGTAGACGACTCAATAGTGACCCTATGAACAAACGGTCTGAGCACTGTTCGTCCATAGAGTTTCCGGAGGCAAGCCATTTCGGAAGTGGATGCCGCTCCTGCTTCCAGACTTAGTACTTAGTACAGCAAAATTCAACTTTAGACCAAGACTCATAGTGTTTCATCTCTCCATCTCAGGCCTGCTTTTGGAGGATAACCCTTCAATCCGTGCCATCACTCTGGGCCATGGACACATCCTGGTGGGAACCAAGAACGGAGAGATTCTGGAAATTGACAAGAGTGGCCCAATGACTCTGCTGGTTCAGGTACTGTGTTTGTGCTCAGGACAAACCACAGTGAGGCTGAGATAAACAAGGGACTTGTGGGACAAAGTTTAAAAATTGGAGCACACATTCAGGATGATGCTACTGTTATGTGACAGATTGTGACCCGTTTCCTGAAAATAACACCAGAGCAGAGCACCTCTATAATGGTCAGATGTGGACTCCACTGTTTGGGATGAGGGCCCCACTTCCTGATCCAACTGGGCCGTACATGCAAGACACATAGTACTGGTGATTGCAATTTGTTATTGTTACTTACAGAAGGCAAGCAGTAAATAACAAAAACAGATTACTCATAGCAAAGAGACAGTAAACAGCAGGAACAAATTTGGGGTATACCTCCGGTCTTACAAGTCCCTTACTTAGCATCCCAAGAAAAGAGTCCCCTTCTGTCTAAAAAGAGACTCACTCACCCTTCCCAACTTCCCCAGCCCTTCATATGTCAGTGGGCAGGCAAACCACGATCAGGTATCAGCAGACGTGTGTATGTCTCTGCTGGTGTGTTACTAGCTCATGTCAGCCTGACCCTTTGCTCTTCTCTTTCTCTCTCCTCCTTCCCTCTGCACCCCACATGGCTCTCATTGACCGGTCTCACCCCCTTTCTTGATTCACATAAACAAGTCATACCTTCCCAACTCTGTGTCCCTGAAGATTAAAAGAAACATCAGCAGAATTCTCAAAGAGCAATTAAGTGACCACTTCTCACATGCTGAGAGTATTGTTGATGTTGTTGTGTGTTTAGAGTCGGAATCAACCCAGAGCTGACCTTCTGACGGGTTTTCAGAGGCAGCTAATCTCACGGGAGGAGATTTCCTATCCTCCTCCTGCAGAGCATGCTGGTGGACTCAAACCGCATGCCTTCAGGATTTATTTCAGTGCAGCTTTTTGCCACTAGGCCACCTGAGCTCCCCAGAGAACAGCTATGGAACACTGGCAGGAGAGAGAGGACTGTCCCCTGATCTGTCTCCCAGCCATGACTCTCTTTCAGTGATGAGAGAATAGATAGAACACTAGCAGTGTATCCTGAACCATTCAGCCCTCCATTTGTAAAGATATTTGGTTGTCAGTTATATGTGGAACTTTTTCCTTTTTGCCAAATTACTGTTGTGTTTGAACAGCTTTTCTCTTAAATATAGACCAGCCAGTTTCTCCCTGGAAAGCCACCTGCTCCACAAGGTGTTCAGCTGCAAACACCTTTCATGTACTTGCAAGTGATAACCCTTTTTGCTTTAGCGGGAAAGCATTTTTAGTTAGTCATTAAGAGCAGAAATTCAGTAAGCTGTGTGATCTGGTTTATTGCTCTGCAGCACTAACTTATTCTTGGAAGTGCTTTTCAAAAAATACTAAGTGATTACTGGAACCAGATTCACTTTCTCCCTGAGTGACTGTTTTAAAAACACATGTAGGGGAGCTCTGGTGGCCTAGTGGCAAGAAGCTGTACTGCAATCCCAGAGGTGCACAGTTTGAATCCACCAGATGCTCTGCTGGAGAAGGAGGCGCAGCCTCCTCCTGTACCAGTCAGATCTGATTTGACAGTACACACACACAAATTAATATTTTTAAAAAAAAATTAAAAATGCACATAGGTTTTTTGAGGTTATTGGTTTTGTTGTTTTTAAAATTTTTTTCATTGTTGAACATTTTCCTTCCCCCCTCCCAATCCATCCTGCAATGCACCCCTTGTTCTAGAGTGCAGTCGTACATATATGCCTAACCATCTATTCCTTTCAGACAGTCCTTTCCCTCATCTGTTACAATGCAGTGTTCACTATCTGTCTACCCTTGTCTCATTCTCTATCCAACTTCCCCACATCTGTCCTCTTTTATAACAGTTGTGTTATGTAGTGTTTGTCCTGTTGTGACTGAGATATTTCACTAAGCATAATGTCCTGCAGGCTCCCCCATGTTGAGTAATGTTTTACACGTTCACTGTTTTTCAATGCTGTGTGATACGCCCGTGTGAGTGTACCATAGTTTTTCTCTCCAGTCATTTGTTGGTTGGCACTTGAGTTGCTTCCATCTCTTTGCTATTGGTTGCTGTAAATATGGATGTGCATACATCTGTTTGGGTTGTGGCTCTGGTTTCTTTAGGGTCTGTTCCTAGTAGTAAAATTGCGGAGTCAAAAGCAACTTTTTTAGAAAGCTCCAGACCACTTTTTAAATTTTATTTTATTATTTTTGTGTGTGTGTACCGTCAAATCAGATCTGACTGGTACAGGAGGAGATTGTCCCTCCTTACCCAGCAGAGCATCTGGTGGATTCGAACCGTTCGCCTCTGGGATTGTAGTTGCAGCTCCTTGCCACTAGGCCACCAGAGCTCCCCCAAGACCACTTTTCATAGTGGCTGTACCATTTTACTTTCTCACCAGCTTTGAATAATAGTTCCAATCTCTCCATAATATTACCAACATTGGATTGCTGCCCTGTTGAACTCTGTTTTTGTTCTGGGTATGGTTTGGGGGGAGGGACGGGGGAAGGAAAGAGAGAGTGTGTGTATGTGCGCGCGCGCACGCACTTTAAATAGCCCAATCCACATGAGGATGTTCATGTCTGATTTTTACCAACTTCACAAAGGGGCATTGTCCCTGTCAATAGCAACAATAACACAGAACCAATTTCCATGAGGTCAGACGTGTCCTTGACACTCCAGAACCTCTTTCTACTAATTTCCACACCACTCCTATTACTTTGCTGGGTCCAAAATATGATGCAATAATTCACACACCACACAGAACCATATTGGAGAGATCAAAAGGTTATAATCCAGATTAATAACAGAGTACAGTCAAGACAGCTCATAAAACGTACACAGAGGGACCTCATCCTCGAGCCTCAAAGCTTGGTGTTCCGAGATTCTCAGTCCTGCCAACAGTGGCTTCCCACTCCCAGTTGTCCAACAAAATTCTCAGTCCTGCCAATATCGACTCTCCACCCTCAGGGTCCCATCTCACTTAAAGTTTCTAGCTGTTGTAGGTGTAGCTGGAGAAGGAAGGATATCCTATATTGTCATGCTTTATCTTCAATGGTGCCAGAAGATCTGTTTCTGCAGCTTGAGCTGTTCGGTTTATTGGCAAGACTAGCCAATACCCTTGTGACTAGGCTAACACACCCCATTCACACCCATCTACGCAGCAAAGTCAAATGGCAGTAAAAGTGATATTGAAAGAGAAATGCCACAGTGTGTATATGGTCTTGATCTCAGTTATTCTAAGCCAGCTCAGTTTGTTTGTGATAAGATGCAATGATTAGGAATTGCAGCTTTTTAAGAAAGTGCAGGCTGCCTTTCAGTTTTTCATTGCACAGTATGGACAGGCACATTAGAGATCAGTTTGTGAACACATGTTGACTCTAAACTGTGTAGAGCACACTTGAGATGAAAACTTAGCTCTTTTTTATTTTTGCTCTGTCAAATATTGCACTCCATTTCCACTGACAAAGATAGATGGCTCCTACATCTTTTACAGTGTGGTTGTGTTGAAGGAAGTGATTGTGTCATTACACACAAGCCATTTTACTAGTCAGTGTAAGTATATTATGTTTATTCAGAGTCAAACAGCAGATAAAATGAGGGCATGTTAACTCTTCACCCAGATGTTTCCAGATCGGAAGATATTTAATGTCTTCTAAACAATGTTCTTTAATCAATGAGTTCATGTTTTGCTTTCCAAACAGTGCTTTCATATCCTCTAGACTTTAAATCTTAGATGTGTATATTCTTGTTTATCACGTACTCTTACCAGGACAGCACTTGTCTGTCAGTGTACTGTACTGTTATAACTTGTAGGTTGTTACGATGCCACCAGTGTTTCCAGTGGCAGCCGGGTCACCCATGGTGGACAGGTTTCAGCAGAGCTCCCAGATTAAGGTGTATGTTGGAGTAGGATTGGCTGACCACTTCTGAAATAACAGGCCTCTAAAAACTCTATGAACAATAGAAGAATATATTATTAGAGTTATAGCCCAGATTTGAAGTCACTCAAAGTGAGGAGAAACAGATGCATCCTCAGTGAGATGAAATGATAGTGACTCCAGCAATGGACTCAAGTGTGTCAATGATGATGAGATCTACTGTTTGTAGAATGAGTCGTACTCAACTCGATGGCACATAACAACAACAACATCAGGTACATCCAGCTTTAGGTTGATGTTGATAAATCACTCTGTGTAATCATTAGAGCTCAAGGAAATCCAGCCTTGTGTTTGGTTGGGTTTGAACATATGTGGGAGACTCAGCTGAAGATGCGGCGTCAGGCTGGTGACAGGCTCGTCCAGAAGCATGAGGTGTGTTTATGTTGCCCTGTCTCCTCTCCCCCAGGGACACATGGAAGGAGAGGTATGGGGGCTGGCAGCCCACCCCCTCCTGCCCATCTGTGCTACCGTGAGCGATGACAAGACCCTTCGGATCTGGGAATTGTCCTCCCAGCACCGCATGCTGGCCGTAAGGAAACTCAAAAAAGGTGAGTGCCGTCACCGTGCCCATCTGGAGAAGGATCTGCAAACCACAGGCTGTGTTGGGTTCATTCAGTTAATAGTTAATGGTAGCTTCTACCTTGTGCCAGAAAATCTACCACCAAGCCAAGCCCACTGCCACTGAATTGTTTCAACTCACAGTGGCTCCTCAGACAGCTTCGGAAGCTGTCATTTTCTTGGAAGGAGATGGCCCATCCTTCTTGAGAAGAACTCCTGGTGGACCTGAACATGGACCTTGCCCTAAGCAGCCCAGCACACAGCTCACCACACCATCAAAGCTCTGAAAACGTGCTAGCCAGTAGGGATTCGTTTGCTGCTAGAAATTCAAGCAAAGCATAGGTAGTGCTGGTCCCAGGATGCACCAGCTCTGCTGTTCATTTCCATCTCCCTGCACTGCACAGACATTTGCCACCTGGGGGCAATATGTCCCTCTTCATCTCGCTGAGAATCGTGAGAATCAGTGGAAGCACATGAGTGGGTAGAGACTGCTGATTATCTTGATGTCTTTTATTACTGAAAATCAAAGATCAGCTATGTAGAGATTAAAATACCGTTACCTGTGGAGAACTGTTGTTGTTGTTGCTATGTGCTGTTGAGTTGCTTGTGATTCAGCGACCCTATGTACAACAGCTCTAAACTCTGCTCTGTCCTGTGCCAATCGCACTCTCTCCAGCACATCCATCCCAATTACCCCAGTCACTGAATCAATCCACCTCACAGAGGGTCTTCCCCTCCTGCACTGTCCCTCCACCCTCCCAAGCATGATGTCCTTCTCCAAGGACCGGTCTCTCCTTACAACATGTCCACAGTATGTCAGACAGAGCCTCAGAATCGTTGTCTCCAAGGAACAGCCTGGTTTAACCATTTTCAGGATGAATCTGTTTGTTTTCCTAGCAGTCCATGGTACTCTCAATACTCTTCTCCAGCACCACAGCTCAAAGGCATCAATTATCCTTCTATCCTCCCTGGTCATTGTCCAGCTCTCTGATGCATGACAAGTGATTGCAAAGACCATGGCCTGTATCAGATGTACCTTAGTCTCCAGAGAGACACCATTGCTCTTCAATACTTTGGAGAGGTCCCTAACAGCAGACTTTCCCATCGCAATACACCTTTTAATTTCCTGGCTGCTGGTGCCAAGAGAAGTTCTCCTAGTGGAGAACTAGATAAATATAATACTGAAGACCTATATGCGCCGAAAGCTAGGCCCAACAACAAAATGACCAAGAAGTTCAAATTCAGCAGGTTTACCAGGTGGCCTCTCTGAACCAGGCCCTGGGGATACCAAGATGAACAGGACAGTCTCATCTCTGGTGCAGAATCCCAACAACCGTCTCAAGTAATCTGAGGAGCATCTGTAAAAGGCCGTTTTATAAAACGGTGGGTGGCGTCTAGACAGATGACCAAGGACAGTGCAGCCCGGCACCTGACACAGCTGAGAGAGCATGTAACTGCTAGAGTCATGGCAGGGCTGCGTGAGGTGACAGCCTGACCGGGGGCTGTGACCTTCAACACACAGAAACGTCTGCAGAAGGAGTTGAGGGAGAACTTGAACCTTTAGCTTCCTCCTCTTCCAGTTTCATGTCTTGTAGTTTCTTTATTCCCCTTTATTCAAACCCATCCAGAAGCCAGAAGGCAGCAAAGCCCATTGGCATGTTCCCTGCCTGCCAGCCTCCACGTTGCAGAGAGTGGATGTGGAGAGAGAAATGGTCCCAGACTAGGTTCCGTGCGGGCCAGGGCTGGGTTCTTCATGCACATGAAGGCTCAAGTTTCCATAAAAGTCCTTAAGATGCAGTCGGATAAGATTGGGATCTGGGCTTGAGATACTTGTACTGACTTGTTTTTTCTAGGTAGAGTGGTCTGGAGAGCTTATTACAATTGAAGGAAATGGAAAACAGGAAATGCAAGACAGTAGTAACAATAACGAGGGTGGTTAACACTCTCCAGTAATCATACCTCTTCATGGTTAGACTGTGAGCGACCCAGTGAGTGAGGCCTTTATATAAGATTACCACTTAGCTCACAGATGAGGAAGTCGAGGCACCAGGACCTTAGGTAGTTTGCCTGATGCCATACAACTAGCAAGTGGGGGAACTAAATTCAAAGCCAC